GAGGCGGGGGGCCTACCAGAGAGAGAGAGAGAGAGAAAGAGAGAGAGAGAGAGAGAGAGAGAGAGAGAGAGAGAGAGAGAGAGAGAAGCTGAATGGCAAATTGCGGCCGCGATCTATTTCGCAGTTGGAATGATTTTTTTTTATTTATTTAGCGTTTTTCTGGAAAGATCACAACAAAAACTATGAGTACTCCAATTTCAGGTATTTTCACGCATTTTTCTGAGAGTGAAAACTCACTGAATTTTGAGTACTTTTTAAGTTGGCCCACACATGGTTCAGTGGCAAAAATAGAAAATGTGCCGAATCGGCGCGATAATTATTTATCGGTCTAAATGATTTTTGTAAAATATTCTAATATTTTTTCTAGAAAGAACACGACCTCATATATGAATTCTTAAAATTTCATATTTTTCTGCGGGTTCCTCCGAGCACAGAAAATCGCCAAAGGTGTCTCTTGCAAAACGCCTGTTTCGTTGCGCCTGACGTCCCTGTTTTGAGAAGACGGGCCTCAACGCCTGGGCCTGAGGGCCCTTACCCCATCTCCACTTCTTTTTGGGGTCCAATTCCACCCGAGGACCAGTCCTTCGTTTTTCCAAAAGTCCCGATTCTACCAAAGCTACTGTAGGTAGTCCGCAATTTTGACAAGGACCGGTTTCCCAATTTTTTTTGCCCCCTAAGAACCCACTTTGGGTCCTGGTCGCCCGCCGCCAAAAATGCGACACCTTGACACAGACGCCGAACCCAGTAGACCACAGTTGGAATGATTTTTTAAAATTTATGTAGCTTTTTTTCCGGAAAGATCAAAACAAAATCTTCGAGTACTCAAATTTTCAGGTTTTTTCACGCATTCTTCTGAGCGCGAAAACTCACTAAATTTGGAGTACTTTTTTAGTTGGCCCAAGCATGGCCGAGTGGCAAAAATGGAAAATGTGCTGAACTGGCACGACGATTATTTCGCAGTCTAAATGATTTTTTGTAAATGTCCTATTATTATTTCTGAAAATAACACAACCTCATCATTGGATTCTCAAAATTTTAGATTTTTGTGCATGTTCGTCTGAGCACAGAAAATCGCCAAAGTTGCCTCTTGCAAAACGTCTGTTTCGTTGTGCCTCACCTCCCTGTTTTGAGAAGACGGGGCTCAACGCCTGGGCCTGAGGGCCCTTTTGCAGTTCACATGCCCTCACTTTTTTTTGGGGTCCGCTTCCACCCGAGGACCGGTCCAATCTCACTTCTTTTTGGGGTCCGCTTCTACCCGAGGACCGGTCCAATGCCCCCCACTTCTTTTTGGGGTCCACTTCTACTCGAGGACCGGTCCTTCGTTTTTCCAAAACTCTCGGTTCTACCAGAGCTAGCTGTAGGTAGTCCGCAATTTTGGCAAGGACCGGTCCCCCAATTTTTTTTGCCCCCTAAGAACCCACTTTGCGTCCTGGTCGCCCGCCGCCAAAAATGCGACACCTTGACACATACGCCGAAGCCCACTATACCACAGCCCTAAGGGCTGCGAATTGTCTACCGCGTGGGCGCGGGGAACGCAGCCTTAAGGTAGCCAAATCAATGAGACTAAGAGCTAACACAAGAAAGAGAGAGAGGGAGAGAGAGAGAGAGAGAGAGAGAGAGAGAGAGAGAGAGAGAGAGAGAGAGAGAGAGAGAG